TTTGGCAATATCTGTTTTAAAGACACAGAAACCTGGGTTATTTCACCTCCCTAAAATCTTGTTTTCCTCTCAACAATCAGTACCTACTTCTGGCCATGTTGTAAAGATGATCTGAGATTATGCAAATAAAAAATATATGTCAGAAAGCCTAGCACATGCAGTACAACAAATGGCAGTTATGATTATTCATGACATGAGGTACAGTAACACCTCTTTTACTTAAGTCATTTTTATTTTTGTCAGAAACATCATTACCACAACACATAAGGAATGTAAGCAGCACAGGGATAGACAGGTTAAAGAATACACACTTCTTTACCTCCCCACTTAGAGAATGCCTTTCCCTCCAACCTCTTAGCCTGTTTAATTAGAATGAGATTCACTCAAGAATATTTATTAAGGGCCAGGCATGGTGGCTCAACCCTGTAATTCCAGCACTATGGGATGCTGACGCAGGTGTCAGTTCAAGACTAGCCTGACCAACATGAAGAAACCCCATCTCTACTACAAATACAAAATTAGCCAGGTGTGGTGGTGCATGCCTGTAATTCTAGCTACTCAGGAGGCTGAGGCAGGAGAATTGCTTGCATCTGGGAGGCAAAAGTTGCAGTGAGCCGCGACTGCACCATTGCACTCCAGCCTGGGCAACAAGAGCAAAACTCTATCTCAAAAAATAAATAAATAAATAGTATTTATTAAGAAGCCAGTGAATTATCAATTAATAGCACTACAGCTGTGCCTAGACTCTGGTGCACATTAAAAGTGAAACAGATGTTCTGTGAGTTAACTGCACTTTAGACAAAACTGTTTTTGTTATGTGAGATTCCCAACCATTCTTAACATATTACACACAACAGATGAGTTTCACTAACATGTAAGTCAAATATTACTAAGTGAGTAGTTTGGTAGTTAGGTTACTTAGGTAAGAAACGTGGAAAGGTAGACAGGTAGCATCTAGAAAATCCTAAATAAACTTTGTTTGTTCTTTTGTTTTGTTTTGTTTGAGGCAGAGTCTCACTCTGTTGCCCAGACTGGAGTACAATGGCACAATCTCAGCTCACTGCAATCTCTGCCTCCCAGGTTCAAGCAATTCTCCTACCTCAGCCTCCCAAGTAGCTGGGATTACAGGCACCCACCACCACGCCCAGCTAATTTGTTGTACTTTTTTTT